ATAAAAGTAGCAACGTCACATAGCTAGGAAGTTGTCTGATTCCTAGTCTAGTGCCCTTACCACACCATATTGCTTCTCTTTTGAGAATGCCTTATGCACCCTCCTGTCTAAATTTATGTATCTGTCCAACTTATTAGGCAAAACAATTTCTAGAATACAGGTATATTTCTTTAAAGCTAATAATAACAATAATAATAATAACATTTACTTAACACTTATAAGATTTACAAAGCACTTTTACATTATCTCATTTGATCCTCACAACAACCCTGAGGTGTTATCATTCTCATTTTACAAATGAGGAAACTAAGGCTGATCAAAATTAAGTGACTTGCTCAGTATCATATAATTGTGTTTGAGGTAGGATTTGATTCCAAGGTTAGCATTCTATCCCACTACATCCTCTTGCTGCTTTTACAATGAAGAGCAAAAGATATACTACTAGCAATATTTCAAGTCTACAGGATATGATCATCTATTTTTCTCATTATAAATCAGTAAATGAAAAGTGCTTTGAATTTAGCAGAAAGGCATGTTATATACATTCTACTGATATCTCATTTCCTTCTTTATTTTTTAGTTTGGCTAGATTATTTGGCATTTTTACCTGTTTTATATGTAAGTGGTTAGGTTATCTGAAGTAGGCAGGGGATCAGAGAAGAAGAGCAATTACCACCCAATGCTAAACAAAAATCAGCAAAAACAACTCTATCTGTGCTTACAATACAGAGTTTAGGACTGTTCATTATATAGGGTGACCCAAAAGTCTTCGTGCAATTTTAAATTTAAATTTAATTTATTTAAATTTAAAACTATGGTACAGGGACATTCCGTACTTTATGGAAATGATTTATAGCTAAATAAACTGTAAAAGCAAGCACCATAGAGTAGAAAAAGAATTATAATAAGGAGCAGGGCAGTCAGCTGAGGATACATTATCTTTCTGGGCTATTATCAATTAATAATTCCAGCCCTGCCTCTATTCAGATGCAGGACTGTCAATACCATTAAAAAAGCATGTCACTAAATCATAATATCCGAGGAAAAAGACTTTCACTGGAATCTGAATTACAGACCATGTGGTGGCCTAGCAGAAATCTGTATAGTTGCTTAATAATTTAGCCTACCTGTTAGAACAGATTTTTTAAAAGTAACAGTTTATCTCCTTAAATAACATTCTGTGTGACCATATGATCAATAAATATTTACTGACCACCAGGGATACAAAGAAGTCATCAGCAGACTCAGGACTTTTCAATTTTAGTTGGGGAAACAGAACAGATAAATGTGTGGGTTAGATTAGAGCTGGCCCTGGAATCAGGAAGACCTGGATTTAAGTTCTGCTACTGACATGTACTAGCTGTGTGACCCTGGACAAATCACTTAATATCTGAGAGCCTGCAGGTACTCTCTAAAAGTATAAATTGCAGAGCAGGTACCAATCTGGTTAGAAAGAGTTTCTTCATCAGGAGTTTCTTATATCAACTAAATCAAAGATCTGGTCCATAAGAAAACAATGTCAAAGACCAAATATTATAGTCGAGAAAAAGATCACTCATAGAAGGTATGCCTTGAGGGAGTCAAAAAAGCATAGCAAAAGAGGCAAAGGAATTCAGAGTCTTGGGAATGATGCAGGTAGTAGACAACAAAAAAGTACATATTCTAGGGCCAGGGTTATAATTAGTCAGTCAACTGGTGTACAGAAGTGTTGGATAATTAGGATGGAACTAGATTGGGTCAAGTCTTAATTATCAGGTTAAGAATTTATATTTGATTCTCTATGCCCATATGGAAAGTCTTTAAAGGTTTTGGGCCAGGGAATGTTATGGTGAATGGTATTTTAGGAATATTAATCGGACAGCAAAGTGCAGAGACTATTAAGACAGACCAGAAATAGAAAGGCCTTGTTGGAGGTCATGATGATCCAGGTCCAGGCACGATGTAATAAAAATCTAGACAAGAATGGTAGCTATCAAAGTAAGAAAGACTAGAAAGAGGAAAAAAATTCAAGAGAACTTTGGTGACTGGCTCTGAGAGACATGCAGGGAATGACAAATGCGGAGTCTAGCTGACTAAGAAAACAATAGTACCAAAGAAAGAAAGACTAAATCCAAAAGGGGGTGAGGAGAAAGTTTAAGCACTCTTGGTTTGAGATTATGACTGAGTGTCAAAGTGGCTAAGTTCAGAAGGCCACTGGAGCTGAGAAACGAGTTTAGTAAACCATTTTTCTTCAAAATCAACAAGTATCAGAAATGTAACATTTCAAAATTAAATAATCTCTAATGATGGCTTTAGGATCAGTCATGTTATCCTGACAGATTTGCACCAGTACAGTACATTTAAATTCTATACTTGAAAGTAGGTATATTGATTCTGAAAATACTTTTATTTTGCTTGTGAAAACTCAATGTGCCTGTTGAATGTGAAAGCACTTTAGATAGGTTTCTGCTTCTGCATTTTTTGAGAAATTATATAATTATAAAGTTTCAAAACTTTTACTGTAAGAACAGTTTGAAAGATTTTTAGGTTGAACAAAAAGGCATAAAAATTTACTGATGGCCCTTATCTAGCAATTCTATGATTCTAGATCATAACAACTATTTTGGGGGTCAAGTCTAGAGAAATAAGTGCTTGAGTACCAGAGGTATCTATGGGGGGGGGGGAGAAATCTACTTTGCTTTCTAGATAGTTTCTAAAAAAGGCAAACCATACTGTTAATCTTCATAAACTGAACCATTTCTCCATTGACTGCCATCATAAAAATTCCATATATTAAAATTTGCTTACAACAGTAAGCAAATAATTATATTCCCTTTCATATGTTAGAGATTCCCTTTTAAAAAGTACAGTTAATAATCTTAGATTTGCATGGCTGTCTCTAAAGTATTTTCACATACATTATCTTAACTGATCTTATCAACCTTGTGAAAGTGGTAGAAACTGCAAATATTTCCTTCACTGTACAGCTGAGGAAACCAAGGACTAAAGAGGCTAAGTGACTTGTCCACATTCACATACATACATTAAAAAAAAAGGAAAAAAAGAAAAAGAACCAATTCAGGGATTCTGAGTCCAAGTACAGTGTTCTTTTCATTACGGTTTACAGACCTTATCGTATAGTTATGTATGGTACCTACATAAATAATTTTGTGCAAAACCTGTAGTCCTTAAGATATATACAAAAAAAACTCAAGTTTTAGGGGAGATTAACTTCAAATAGAACCCATGCTAATTATTTTATTAAGGGAAGAATGTTTTAGTAATATAAATAATTTTATTCCCTGATTTATCTATATAATGAAGTTGGATTGTCATCTGTAAGACAGTCTTCAAAGAAGGGAATACCCACACTATACACAGATCGCTGGGGCGTTCCAAAGGTTGTTTCCAGGTTACCTTTCATAAGCTTTACAAATGCCTTAAATGCAATGCTAAGAATCTGCCCTCTTAACACAGAAGTAGTATATGTACTTGTACAGGTTGCTATGCTGAAGGCTGCATTAACAGCCATCTTTGGATCTTTTCTGAAGGCTGCATTAACAGCCATCTTTGGATCTTTTCTAACTGAAAAAAGCAGGAGGTAAAATCACCTCCACATCACTCAGTATTGCTTACGGGATCAGCAACAACTACCTAATGCCTTCTTTAAGGCAAAGGCTCTGGTACCATAAAATGAATTCTCTGTTCATAATTTTTAAAGTCCAGTCACTATCTGTGTAACCTTGGGCAATTAACCTTTCTGGGCCTCAGTTTCATCATCTATATAATAAAGTGTTTGGACTCAGTGATCCTTGAATTCAACCCCAAAATTCTATGAAGATAAGTTTATTTCTGGAAAAAGTGTTTCAATTTAAGCAAAATAGATGCCTACTGAGGAAGAAGAACATATGTACTCTTCTCTCACATCCCTCAGCTTTTGATAATACTTTTCTGTCCCTTAAAATGTTCAGTCTTACTTTCAGGGCACTAGTATTACAAAAGGCAGACATTTATTTTGTCTTTTTCATGGCCTATCATTTCAAAACCTTGAGAGGTGGGTGGTTCCTTAGTAATATAATGCTATATCTATCTATCCATCCATCATCAATGGATTTATATAAAAATATTTTTCAATCAATAGTAGAAAAGCAATGTCTCTCATTCTTTTTAATGATGAAGTATTTAATGTTTATAGAATAGGTATCAAGATAGCTAAAACAGCCAAGTATGAAATTTTAAAGTATATTACTTTTACAATCTGAATGTAATTGGCTCCTCCCCCCATTTCAGACCTGTGACTTTATTTGGATATGGACACTCCCTTTACCAGTGAAGATTCTTGACACTAATAATCTTATCTTAGGGATTCTTAACTTAGGGTCCATGAATTTTTTAAAAAAATATTTTGATAACTACCAAACGGATCCATGACATAAGAAAGAATAACAATTCCTTTCTTAGAGAGTTAGCTGGGATACTAAAAAGTTAAAAGGTCACACAATTGGTATGTGTCAAGAAACAGGACTCGAACCCAGGTCTTCTTAGCTCCAAGGCTGCTAAACTAACCATTACTGTATTGCCTCTCAGGACTGGCTTAAAAACATTTTCAAATGCCAGCAATATAGCTTAGGAAAATAAAATATTTCAGCTCAAGTTAGTAACTAATATTAATTATATAGTTAACAAAAAATAGTTTACAAAAATATGTACTTCTGCAGTGAATGTCTGCAGGAAAAGTGTGAGAAAAAATATTTCACTTAAACATAGGCTTTTAAACTAAAATTAAGTAGTCCCAATGCTTCCTGCCCTTTAGCCCCTAAAGATCACAGAATACCAGAGTTGGAAGGGACCTCAGAGGTAATCTAGTTCAAACTGTACCTGACCAAGAATGTCCTCTACAACATCCAACAAATGGTCACCCTACCTTTACTTGAAAACCTCTAGCACGGGAAAACCTCTACCCCCCAGGGCAACCCATTCCACTTTTGGATAGCTCTAAATTTGGTTACAGTAATACTTACTCTGAGCCTGCAGCCATTTCCAAATATGAAGTTTCTGCTGTATCAACCCCCAATGGGATCACTATGCTCATGACGTTCGTTTCTGATAAATTCGATTACTACGGAGTCCTATGCATTGGTATCCAAAACACTGGGGCATGCCAGCCACAGTGCTCATTGCAAACATCTAAGTGCATCCACAAACCCTGTTTAAAAGAAAAAGGAACAAAAAAAGCTTCAGAAATACTTTCATACATTTTAAGTAACAGGTATGGTATATAACTTATAACAGGTAATAGCTGATGCTTCAAGGTTTACAGAACGTGCACATTAAAGCATTGCAAAACACTTTAAGGTAAACAGAATCCTTTACATTCTTCATCGCAGTTGAAATAAGAAAATTTTATGCAATACTCAGCATCAATTGTTACTTGCCACAAACAGTTATTTCTGCAGAGATAAACTGTTTCTTACTTCAGCTTATCTGCATCTTTTTCAACAACTGAGCATTCAATCCAGGGGACTATCAAACAGGAGAGAAATATATTTCTAGGCCATTTTCTTCTTTAAAGAAATGGAGCATACAGTACAACACAAAAGGTAAAATAATCATGTGATTAAATGGCGCTTTAAAGTATTTAAGATTTCATTTTTGAGAGCCATAGTATAATCCTTCTATAACACTGTTTAGATGTAACACTATCACCTGTGCTCTAACGTTTTCCTCTTTAGAATTAGAATACATAACATCAAATACTCCAGAGGGCAGCTAGGTGGCGCAGTGGATAGAGTGCCAAGCCTAGAGTCAGGTCTACTCATCTTCCTGAATTTAAATCTGGCCTCAGACACTTACTAGCTGTGTGACCCTGGGCAAGTCACTTAGCCATGTTTTTCTCAATTTCCACATTTGTAAAATTAGCTGGAGAAGGAAATGGTAAACCATTCTACTATCTTTGCTAAGAAAACCCCAAATGGGGTCACAAAGAGTTGGAAACAACTGAATAACAACAAAATATACAAGAGATGTGATGTGACCTGCACCTAATCCATAGTGCAATTAAATGTTTTATATATTTTTTCCTAACATGTTGACCAAGCAACACTAATAAAACATTCAAATCTCTGTGGTACAACTGAAAAAGCATGGACTCTGTAGTCCAGAGACCAGGATTAAATCTTGCTCTATGCTAACGACTCATGACTTACACGATCCTGGACAAGTCATTTAATCACTCTGGAAAATGAAAGGGCAGAAGGACCCTTCTAGATCCATTATTATCTTATGATCCTACCATTCATGTATGGAAGAAACTAATAAAGCAGTGTTTAAAATCCACAGGAAGTAAACATCTTCTTAACAACACAGATGAGCATGTATTCTCCAAGTTATAGCTTTAAAGAGCTGCCTGGGGGCACTGAAAGGTAAAAATGACTAGTCCAAAGTCACAACCCAGTTCTTTCTGACTCTGAGGCCAACCCTCTATCCTCTATACTAAGTGGTCTCTCCACATGGTTTACTTTCCATTAAAACACCTGTACATAATTCTTGGTACATGAATTGATTACCAAAGGTCTATTCAACAATTTCTTCAGCCACAATCAAGAATTGGATGGGTACTGTCTTAGAGTACCATTTTAGATAAACCTACAGGTTGACATGAAACAACAGTTTAAGTACCTATAGTTTATAGTATTAGTTTGTCTCTTTGCTATGTTATTCCCAAAATGTATGAAGACCTATGCTCCAGTTAATAGACTTTATATCTGTCCAGAAACTTAAAACAAAATTGAGAATGATGCTGTGTGGAAAGATAAGCATGAAAAATGTAGTAATTAGGTATCAATATAGGTCTGAATTCACCAGGGAAAAAAAGCTCTTGATTATTTTCAAACTTGATAGTCCTAGGGTTTCTATACTAAAACCCATTTCAAGTATAGCCATGGATATGGTACCAAAATTCTTCTAATATAAAAAGCAATGTCCCATGTTTCCAGATTATGTTATGACAGGTTACATGTAATTAAATTAAAAAACATCCCTTCAAGTTGGCAAGTACAAGAGTAGACTTAAAAATAGTAAAAATTATCCTATGTTCTTCATTAAGCATTTACATTGCTAAGACATGGGGATAAAATTAAAAATTTCTATAAGTAAAACAAAGATCATGCAAAATAAATTACAAATATATACCATTCATTTTTTCCTTCATTCACTTACAGCACTCAGTTTGGGGTCTAGTAGGTAAAGTCTAACAAAACAAACCTCCCTCTGTTGGAAGTTGTTGAAGTAGTTTTTTTTTTAAGGTTAATAAATCATCTAAAAGATAGAGACAAAGGTCATTTTACACATTTATCAAGCTTATAAATGTTTATCAGAAGCAGAAACTAGAAATTTAATAATTTATTGCTTGAAGAATATACATAAGTTTAAATAGCTGCGTATTTCCTATGTCATACTGGTGTCTATATACAATTAGGATGCTAATGACTTAAAGTCACTGCAAGCATTTATTAAGTGTTTATGATATGTTGGGCACTGTGCATACATTTTAATCACTCAAATATACACGCTCAAATTTTTTTTTAAGTCATGAAAACTAAATATGTCCTACTCCAGTTACATTCTCTACTTAGCTCTTCTTACGAAAACAGAACATAATTGGACAAGGACAGGAGTACAATGTAGCCTTGAAATGAAAGGTAATTCGTGCATCTGACAAGGAACTTTGACCTCATAAGTAATGTGCAATAATCAAATTGAGTTAAACTATCTAAAATGCAGTAATCATTACATTCTGTATATAGTAACTTTTATCCAAAAATATTATGATGATTAAAACTTCAAAACTCCTTGAAGAAGCAAAACCTGTAGTTTTTTCAAATGGAAAGGAACTAGGATCCATCCTTACTTGGCTTTTAACCAAGGGTCTTCTTTATCAATTTAGTTCAAGAAATACCAAGTAGGTTACTGTATCCAAATACATTCAGGAAACCTAGCCTGCTTAATATACTAGGGCAGAAATGTTTGTCTGCCACAAATTTTTTCAATATCTTGTCATTCTGTCTTCTAAAAAAATAAGAATAGATGTGACAAGGCAATGAGTAGTTAGGAGAAAAGATGTAAAGAAGTATGTCAGAAGAGGTTAAGACACTCACTAGCAGAAGGGGTTAGGGGAAGAGGTGACAAGAAATCAAACAACTGCCCTCAAGGCAGCTACATCTTTATTCTTGAAAATAGAAACTACTGTTAACCACAAGTCAGAAAACACAGCAAGGAGAATAAATGATATCCACAAAAGAAATAATGTAAAAGGAAATACCATGAGATGGGAGGTAATTCTGAGGTCCAAGAAAGAATAAAAATCTTCACAAAACCTGTTATCCAGAATAGACCTAGAAACCAAGTGAACACAAGGCATTGAGCTATTTTTCCCCCAAAGGACATAAAATTGAACTACTGACACAGTTACAAGATATGAACTTAAATGTAGCCCAACACTTTGTGACAAAGACTGCAGGTGATTTCTAAATAAAAGGTATCTACCATCCTTTACAGAAATGAAAGCTAAACAATGCCACACAAGTAATAACCAAAATTAGATACTTAATTTGGGAGTGGGGAGGCCATAGAAAAAGGAATTTTTTTGAAAGACAAAGACATTATAAAAAAAAACCCTTAAAGTTATAAGAACAAATTAATAAAATAAGATAAAGGAGAAAAGCAGTAAACATAGAACATACTAGTTCATCTTTATATAGCAATAACAGTTTACAAAGAGCTTTCTTTTCAGCAACTCTGTGAGTTATGGAGAATAAGTAATTTAAATAAGAAAGTGAAGTCCACTAAGGACCACTGTCACACTGCTAACAAATGCCAAAGCCAGAACTCATTCTCAGATCATCTGACTTCAAGTCTAGGGCTTTTTCCATTACATTAGACTGCCTGGAAATAAAAAGTAGAGAAAGAATTAAAATAATTTTTAAAGACCAGAAGATACACCAACAGATGGAAAAGTGAAAAGATGACAGGAAGAAAGAATGGAAAGAAAAAAAGGTTAAGAATAAACCAAACAGTACCAATGAATAAAACGTGAAAAAAAAATTCTGAAAAAACAGCTCAAAAGATATTGCCATTAATAAAAGCAATGGCAATCTCTGAAACAGCATTAATGAGTTGTTCATCAGAACAACTCTGAATTTTTAGGTGAATTCCAAAAGAAAATGACAGTGTTTAGAATAGGCCAACACCAACAGATTTTCTTGTAAACTGGGGATTAAACTAGTTATCATGTATAAGATGTAATTGACAGTGGGGTTTTTTTGGTGCAGAATGAATTAAAAGAACAAAAAGGTAGGAGACCCTAGGAAAATTACAACCTTTTCAAGATTCTATTTCTTCACCTATCAATTTCAAAAAGGAAGTTGAATTATCTGATCTCTAAAGATCCTTCTTCTTGTACTAAATTTCTAATTTTATGTAGTAAAAGGAAAAATTAATTTGTTCAAAGCACTCAATGCTCTCTGCAAGTATAATAAATGCTAGATGGCTCATTCCAACAAAGCACTAGTATAGTTATGTGATATTTAATATACCTTTAGAAGACAAATAATTCAACATTAGCATGCCTAAGATTGTTCCACTATCACCTTCCTAGTTATCCTGTGGTTAGGCTATCAAAGTGTTTCCCGAGTACGTATCTGCTAGTTCAAAAACACCTACCAGGATTATCAAAGAAATGATAGTTGAGAGGAAATTCCACCTAGGACAAAAATCTGGTAGATGATAAAATATACACTAAAGAACTGACTACATTCAAAAACTCTGCAACACATCTGGCTGTACAAAAGATAGGAGGGAGAGGTGAAGGAGGAGGGGAATGATTGCAGAGTTCTCCAGCTCTTTGGCACATTCTATCAAAGCCAGATTTCTCTATAACAAGGGTCCCCTAGAGGGGTTAATCTAAGACTAAGAAAGGACTTTCTGGAAGGAGAGTTGCCACTATGTATGCCCCAAACTCATGTAGAAGGAGGGAGAGACTATTGACATGTCACTTTTCCCATGGCTTTTTGGTACTCCCTCCCCTCATCCCAATGAAATATGACTGTACTAAAACGATGCTAGATTATTCAATGTGCTTCACTCAGCAAATGAGCTTAGTTTATAGTTACCTCAATCAAGGCTAGGATGATGAGATAAGTATACATTTTTAGTAACTTCCTACTTGCTAAACCATAATCAAAAGTCTGGCTTAAAAATCAAAGAAACGTCTGAGCTTTTGTGTTTTTTTAACCATTAAAATTTACCAATACTCATACAGTGATTCTGCTTAAAGAGTACCTGCTGTACTCTTACATGTCAGTTTTCTACTGACTTCAAGAAATTTAAAGTAGAAGATTCTTCAGTTTTCATGAAAATTAAATGTTCTCAGATAGGAAGGTAGATATCACAGATTTTAAAACTGAAAAAAAAAAATTGGTACCACAACTTTGAATAAGTTAGACAGATTTTAAGGTACAGTACTTTCTAAGAGAGCTAGTCTCCCAGCAGAAGTTTCACTGTACAAAACTTTGTAATTTAGATTTTTGCACATATAAGAAAAGAAAATCTGGAATATTTAGTTTACAATTCATATAACCTCTGAAAATATCATTTTAAATATTAAATATTGAAGTTTGGAAACTAAGACAATTCTTTGTTATGAGAGAGAAGGGGAAGCGTAGAGATACAAGGAGAAATCTAAGAAATATAAAAACAATTATCAATAAAAATCTATTAAAAAAAACTAAGTCAATATTGAGCTATACAATCCATTCACATTATCTTACTATTGCCCAAATAATACACACCTTAATATGACTGCTCCATCTGAAATGTAAAAAATAAAATCTATATAAACTAGCAAGAACATCTATTCTATACTTCCACATATAGTGACCATAAAACTTTAAAATCTTAACCTTATTTCTTTTGCTGACTCCATTTTATCCTCTGACCTCTGAATTAGGAGCAAGTCCTGTAAGGTTCAGCCCTACCTCATATATTCTTTTCTCTCTCAGATTTCAACTATGTTAGTGAAACCCAAATCTATCTCTAGCCTCTTTCCAATTTCATTACTAATTTCCAACTATTTGTCGGATATAGATCTACTCATATATCCCACCATAATCTCAAATTCACACAGCCAACACTATATAATCCAAGCTCTCACTCACTCTGGTGTCACTCACTATGATGGTAGGCTTTTGGCCTTTCCACTTCCAGTCTCCCCTCTTCAATCCAACCTCCACGTAGTTGCCAAAATGGTCTAAGGCTCAGATTTGAAAATGTGACTCCCTTGCTCAAAAAGGGGTTCTCAACTGCCTATAGGATAAAATACAAATTTCTTATTACTCCCTTTCTCAAAATCTAGGTATCAGCTAAACTGGACTACAATTTTCCCAAATTAAAAAATGTGCCTTCACACAAACTATTCTTCATCTCTGGAATGCATTTCCTCTTCCTCATGCCTCAGAACCTTTGTGTACCTTCCAAGTTTAACTTAGTTGTTAGCTTTTCCATGAGGCTCTCTCCCTTCTCAATTTTCCTCGTACTACTTGTATATATGTTGTGTCCCAGAATAGAAAGCAAGCTGTTGGGAGGATAAAGATGATTTCCTCTTTCTCTTTGTATTCCCAATGTCTACCTAGCATAAAACTTTCTCATAGCAAGCAAAAAATATTTGCTAAACTGAATTGAAAAGGAAAATATATTCAAAATCTAGATGTTCTTAATCACCAAAGAGATGACAAATTGCATTTCTATAGTGTTTTACAGACTTTACATATATTTGCTTGACATAACAACTCTGAGGTAATGCAGACAAGTGTCACTTTATAGATGAAAAGAGGCTAAATAGTTCTGCAAAGAATCAGAGCTTAAGTTTTCTGATTCTTCACCTGGTGCTCTCTTCCCAAAATCATGCTGCTTCTTTACAGAGATTCGTACTATTTGTCTTGGATACATTGCTTCACCTGTCTGGGCCCCAGTTTGTCCGTCAGTAAAATGAAGATTTAGACTAGACAATTGATAAGATCCATTCCAGCTCTAAATTCCAATGATTTATATTCTACAGAATTCTCATGCTATTTAGAACACATTCTATTTAAAATAAAGGCTCCAAAATATTTTTCTCATAATATTAAACTAAGCTACTATTTTTCAAAAAATAATGAGATCAATTCACGTTGAATGGAGTATGCTAACTCCACAGAAACAAGAATACCTTAGAGCAAGTTTCTTATAGAGCCCCTTGACAACTTAATGATTTCCCCTCCCACTCTGCCACCTCAATTCTATAATTACCTTGCCAAAAACTGATCCATTACCAAAACTATCTTTCAAATGGTTTATCTTAAAACTGGCATGAGTGATATTGCTTTATACTGAAATGACCCTATGTGCTTATGTGGGGGGGGGGAGAGGAGTGTGGGTAAAAATGCGTGGGAGAATTAGAACATTGTTTTATGTCCAAAGCATAATTATTTTAAAACCCTATAATCCACAAGGAGGGGGTTGGGGAAGAGAACATCAACACAGCCCATGATTCAGCATTCTAAAATAGGGACACATCAGGAGTTCAAGAGAAAGCATTTATTATTCATTGGTTCTAGGGTTTGTCTGTCAGCTCAGCTCAGGCAAGGATACGAGGAGGGGAAGGTTAGATTCAAGACATAATTTACATTTTTAAAGTGCTTAAAGTTCTACAAATGCTTTCTTCACAACAACCTGGGGAGGTAAGTAGAACATATAAACATCAGAGAGGCAGTGTGTTACAATGCACAGAGGCAGAGTTTGAAGTAAAAAGCATAAATAAGTATGCATCTGGATTTATTGTTTTATTAGTGTCAAAACTTCCTATTATGTCAACTCCCTCCAAAGATATAGATCTGCAACTTCATTGTAACTGATAGTTGTTTGGGGCACTGAGAAGTTAGTTAAGTATTTGCCAAAGTCTTCTTGGCTCCGAGGCCCACCATGTCCAGTTATCTATTAGTATAAACCACATTATTTCCATTTTACCCTTAAGGAAATTGAGGTTCAGAGGTATCAACTCAACAGAAAAAATGCTAAAAAGCAGCATAAGAAAGAATACTGGAGGTTGGGGGTGTGGTGGAAGGGGGAATAAGAATGTGTGTGGAATAGAAGTCAAATGCATGGAGTATAATAATAGGACCAATATCTACCAGGGATCCCCTCTCCAAACCACCCCCATCCACCCTTCTATGAGTTAGGCTAATTTTCCTCCTAAAAGGCCATAAAAGTATTCCTGAGGTCTTCACTGGACAAAGTTCAGGCTGTACCTCCCTTGACACAGCTACCTGGTAGCCTCTGGAAGTACTGACTTGGCTTCCTT